TAATATTTTACTTTAGCTAGTCTTGTCCTTTCTTGGTGCTTAATTTGCTACGGTATTTGTAGTGTTGTCAAGTTGTACCTCAGCTTCTGTTTTTCAGATGTAAGCAAAAAGCTTTTTCTGATTCTTTCTCCACCTAACAGTGGAGAAATGGTAGCTCTATCATCAGCTTGGGGCTATGGGACATCTCTTGCAAAGAATGAGAAAACTTGCATTACTTTTCACACCTTTGATAGGAGATTGCCCTGGGGATTAGGAGTGAATAAGTAAAATAAACTTGACCCTCTTAACAAACATACATCTCTACTGCCAAAAATCTTTCCCAAGCACTTTAGGAACAGTGAATCTGTTACAAGGTCCAACAAGAAGCATGCCAGTAAGCTTTATACAAACACTCCCAGGTTTTATTCATCAGCAATAATGCTGCTTTTCAAAGTACTTGGCAGTGAAGCTGCAAGTAGGATCTTACAGAGGTTTACTCCTCTCTAACCTTTTCCAGCAGATTTTTCTCTTCAGGAGGGAGTAACTGAACCATCTAACCGCCACAAACAGGAGATGTTAAAACATGAAGCAATTCTACAATAAAATAAAGTGACAGGCAACTTCAGAGTCTCTTGGCATTCACACTGGAACCAGTGGGCTATGAAGTGCCTAATTCACTTTTTGTATGTACAATGAAGTGGAATAACCCTTTTCAAGGTAAAAAGAAAAATGACAGTGGCTTAACTGAAATCAGAATCAGGCTCTTATTTCCACCAGGTCATTTCTGTACTCTGGTTTTCATGTCTCCAGAGTCTCATGATGTCTTTCCAGGGCAGCCCTTTTCTAACCTTTGTGGTGATTAAACAAACAAACAAAAAATAGCATCTTCCAGAATTTTAGCCATTTCGTAACCACTGGACTTTGCCTGAGATCTAGGGCCTGAGCTGCAAGCTGCTCCTCCCACTCAAAGAACTGTTTGCTCAGCAGCAGCTGCTTTCGTTTTAAGAGATTTTGGCAGTTTCTTGGGCAAGCACCAGAGAAATTTCTGTTGTGGCAGTCATTAGTGTACTGCATGTTTGTGTCATCCAAGGGATGCAGAGGCATTTCTCCCAGGACAGCAGGGAGTTAACTTGTCTCCTGGTCCCTGTCTTGGGAATAAGAGCTGGGATGGCAGCCCATAGTAGGAGGGCCTGGATTGAATTTGCCAGTGAAGAGGAGGGATAACAATTTTGTGTGAGAAAGATGCTTGCCAAGAAATAGAGAAGGAAAGTAATATGGGAGAAAGGAAGTAACTCATCAGTTTTCAGGACAGAACAACAGCAGTTTCAGGATCTGGGTACACATCAGGGTCTTGGACAGATTTTTCTCTACCTAGGTCACTCACCAGAGAAAGAAAGCAGAAGGAGGAAGGCAGATGCCTTCATGAGTCTAGGAACACTGCCAGAACCTCACAACCATTCAGTTTCCTATCAATACAAGCTAACTAAATACCACTACACCACTTGTAGAGAGGAAGAGGCTGAGGCTGTAGAAAACTTTTAAACACAGGACTGGTTTTCTACCAGCACAAGCAACATTGGGGCAGGAACATGTGGGTCGGGGCAAAGAGAAGGGCAGCAGCAGCCACAGCTATCATTGCTCTACTCCAAAGGAAGGCTGCTGAAAACTAAAGCCACTTGGCTTTGTATTTTCCAAAAGCAAAATACAGTTGGGTAGAAACAAGTGAGGTACATCACTGCTTCAAAACTTACAATTATTCATTGAATAAGATGCTACAAAAGGAAAAAAATAAACAAAACCAAAAACCCCCCCAGAAAACATTTGGGATGCAAAGACTTTTCTTCCTTTGCTTTTAACCAGCCATTTGAAAACACTGCAACATGATCAATTCCGCAAAAATGTTTTCCTGACCACAGTGTCTTGCATGCAGACAAACACAAGGATTATGCCAGTTCCTGGAAGAATGAACATCAGTAGCTTTTTTTAATATTGGAGCACGTGTCTGTTTGTATTGTTGTTTTTCTCTCTTCTTATTTCCCTAATTTTGGGGGATACATTTTTTTCGTTGTTGTTGTTCATAGGCTCTTTGTTTAAACAACTACAATAGGTTATTTTTTTCCTCTGCTTGTTCATTTTTGTTTGGCTCTTTATATTTCTTTTTGCCTGTGCAAGTAAAATTGCCCTTAACAATCTCTCTCCTGCTGTTTCAGCTTGATCAGCTTCCACTGGGTCATCATCACACCACTGTTTTAAACAATTTGCTTGTTTGTAGGTAGCTAATAAGTTATATGCTCTCTTTAGAAAGAAGCTTTTGAGGTCTGGGCTGTAACTTTTTTTTTAGTGAGATATACTACTGTGTATTTGAGAAATTTCCCCAGATAAGATGGAAGACGGGAATCTGACTTGCTTTCCTGGGCAAATTCCTCAGGCACTGTTTTGTATTTTGGTGGTACTGAGTCAAGGCAGCAATTGGACATGTACTTACATGCCTTTGAAGTTGGTGAGATGTATTACTGTCTCAAAAATAGACATGCTTAAGCAAGTGCTCTCCCAAACTGGAACTTTATTAATTGTACTCTAGTGCATGCCCGCACTGGGAGGCTTTAGAAAGTTTAGGCCTCTAGGTTAAAGCTGCAGAGTCTATGCACGAACAGTAAAGTACATTAACCTGTTCTATGGATTCTCTCATTGCCATTACATCACTGTAGCGTAATTTGAGCACACCTATGGACAAGTCCTCAAGCTGTGCTTGTGACACTGAACAGCTTTGAACATAGTGTGCCATTTATCAGTCTCTTTCTGTAATCCACAGTCTAATGTAGAATAGATTATAATTTAATCCCCATGCCTGCAAGTGTTCAAGCTAGGTTGGATGGTGCTTAGAGCAACCTGGTCTAGTGGAAGGTGTCCCTGCCCATGGCAGCTGGGTTGGAACTAGGTCGTCTTTAAGGTCCCTTCCAACCCAGGCCATTTTATGATTCTATGATAGTGTAATTTGAGTGTTTCTTGCTGAAATTAATTCAGATAGCATAATGTTTCATGTGTACAATAAGCAAAAATTCCCTAACTTCAAGAATTACAAAACTGGGACTAAATAAAAGGGTACATGACTAATGAGATACATGAAAGACTCAGAAATGTTTGAAGATGTGACAAAAAAAGAAAGGAATCTATGGAAAGGTGCTCCTGAACCACAACACTGTCAGTGAAAGAATGGAGTGGGATGGTGTAAAACCTTAAAAATTAGTATCTCCTGTCAATTTCTAGAACTAATTACTAGCTGAAATGTTGAGCTTCTTTAAATTAGCTGTGCTATGAGTGCAAACTGTAACTGTTTTATGTTAGTGAGTGTATTCTATTTGCTTATTGAAATACTTTATTGTATAATGCAATCTTGTGGAAAGACAATGAGCAGCCAGGATCCTAGCAATATTCTGTATTGCTTGCCTGAAAATCTGATGCGTTTTGTTTCTTTTTGCTAAATTCTCCTAAAAAAAATAAAGCTTAATTAAATCAAAAGCATCTCTCTGATGAGCCTTTCCTTTGATCTCTCTCATTTGATACTCTCTCTCCTGACAGGCTGTGATACTCTGCTAGAAATACTTTGTGCTTTCCTCCATAGGGATAGCAACTGCTCTTCTCCAGGCATTTCCTTGGCCTAGGATTTGGGAGCTCTGGAAGAAGGCAAACATCATCCAGCCTATAAGTGTGAGTGCAGGACTCCATGTGGAACTAATTAGTGACATAATGAACACCACAACAGTTTATTGCCAGGAAGCTCCTAATGACGTGGCAGTAATCTTACACTGACTAATCAAGATTTTCTTCATTTCCCTTTAGCAATTGTACCTGATAAACTGGGGGGGGAGGGGAGGAAAATAAAACTGTAAGTAGAACAGAGGCTTTGATTTAAAATACCTGACAGGGGATGCTCTTCTGCTTTCCTGGGGTTATAGTGTGCAACCCTGCTCCATAAATTCTAAAACCCTGGATACCGAAAGCAGAGTGGTTATGACTCCTTCCTCATTGATTTTGGTGGACCGGCCTTAACATTAACTTAACTTAAATTTAGCGTAACTTTGATGTGTGGGGTGCAGCCCTACTATCAACATGAGGTTGACTGTTTTAATCAAAAATGGGTGTGTATTACCAGGATTAGGTAAAAAATGGAGGTACTGTTTTCAATGTTTTCCGCACATAGTAAGAGAAACTAAAAAAAACCAAAAAACACATAGATCGATTCAGATGGTTCTCAACCAAAGTAGTCCCCATCCTGTGCCTAGCCCAGCACATGGTGTGTAGGACTAAGCATATGTGCAGCCCCATGTAGGAAGAATGCTGTCTCTCACCAACTGCTTTTCTCACAACAACAAATATTTACACTGCAGTACGAGAAAGACAAGGAGCTACTGGAGAGGGTCCAGCAGAGGGCCACAAAGATGATTAGGGGTCTGGAGCACCTCTCTTATGAGAGACTGTGCTAGATGGGCCTGTTTTAGTGTAGAGAAGACTGAGAGGGGATCTCATTAAGGCATATAAATATCTCAAAGGCAGGTGCCAAGAGGATGGTCACTGGGCACCACTCTATTCTGTGACAGGACGAGGAGCAATGGCCATAAACTAAAACATAAGAAGTTCCACCTGAGCACGAGGAAGAACTTCTTTACGTTGAGGGTGGCAGAGCAGTGGAACAGGCTGCCCAGAGAGGTCATGGAGTTTCCCTCTCTGGAGACACTGAAAACCCATCTGGACGAGTTCCTGTGTAACCTGCTCTAGGTTGGCAGGGGGGCTGGACCAGATGAGCTCCAGAGGTCCCTTCCTTCCCACTCCCCAGCCCGCTCCAGGGCTCAGCCCTAAGGCGCGGTTCACAGCCCCAACCCCGACACATGCCGTGCCGGTTCCCGGGTCCCTCGCAGCCGGGACCAGCGGCGCAGGGAGCCGGGGGGCAGCGGCGAGGCGGAGCCGGGCGCATGTGACCGGCGGCGGGGGCGGCCCCGGCGGGGCTGAGCCGCCTCGGCGGGGCAGTGCGGAGCGGCGGCGCGCTGGGGCATGCGGAGCGGCCGGGCCCCGCGCAGATGATGGCGATACGCGAGCTCAAAGTGTGTCTGCTTGGAGTGAGTAGAGGGGACCGGCGGGTCGCTTCCCCCTTTCCTTCCTTCATTCCCCACGCCGCAGGTGGGGGCTGCGGGAGGCGGGGTGCTCGCTAAGCCGGGGAACGCTCCCGGCCCCGTCTCCCCCTTCCCGGGGGGCGCCGCAACTCCCCGTCCCGGCCGAGGCGGGGGGGCTCGGCCGCAGTAAATTCCTCCACACCGAAACTTGGCAGCCGCGCACCGGGGCGGGGGGAGGCTTCGGTGGGGGCTTTTTGTTGTTTTTGTCTCGTTTCTCAACTTTTTAAAAGTGAGAAGGGCGTAGCGGGGGGGAGGTGGCTCTCTTTTGGGGGGCCTCCCCGCAGCGCTTCCCGGGCAGGGCGCGGAGCCGTCTCCCCGCCGGCGGCCGCGGTGATATCGCGGCGGGTCTCCCTCCAGTGCCGGAACCCCGAATGCCCGGGAGGATTTCCCTGCCCGCCATCCCCGCGGGTAGGGGAGCTGTGGGTCTTGTGGCCTCGCCGAGCCCCCGCAGAAGTGGTGGGGAGCGACACGGAGAAGAGCGGCAGCGCTGCCCACCCTGGGACACTCTCTCGGGTGGTTCCTTCTCCCGGGGCTCGGTCCCATCTCACCGATGTGCTGGTCAGTGCTTTGTGTGGTTTCTTGCCGGGGTTTATTCAGAGCTTCTTTAGCTCGGCTCCTTTTTTTTTTTTCCTTCTTTTTCTGCTCTTTTGGCGAACCCGTGCGTGCGTTTCACATCTGGAACAACAATGTGCTTAGCTCTGCAGTTTGGCTGCGCCTGCCCCCTCTCTGCCTGGCACCCAGGGAGCTTAGCAGCAAAATGCACCCACCAAGTTGGGACAAACACCTCTGGAGAGCAGAGCCACCTCTCTTGACAGTAACTAGCAGAGTATCGCTACTCAGTTCTTTTTTAAATCAAACATCTCAAATTACTGGGTGCAAGTGAGGCTGCTTTTAGGCCTCTATCTCTATAAACATTCAGAGAAGCTGCATGAATGAAGACTTTTTAGAGTGAATTCTCTTTCATGTGCCATCCAAGTGAGTTGTACATTTGAAAAACAAACACAAATAGACTCTCCGGTTCTCTCTGATTTGTGTTGACTCTTAGCCCAGCAGGAGTGGGTACCTTGCCCTGGAGTAAGTGCCAGGATGCAGTGCCAGGGCACTGGAGAGTTCAATCCAAAGTATTTGGCAGCGACTGTTCCTCCTTTCCTGGTTAGAATTCCTGCCTTCAACTTTTAAAATGGCATAGTGACAAAAATAAATGTGGTTTACACAAACATGAAGAGTCTGTGGTAGATTATTTGGATGTGTCTTTATTTTCTTCCCCAGCAGAAAATGTTGTAACTTTATGAAGTGTCTTGTGGAATGAGATTCCTCATGCCCATTATTTATTGCTGTTTTGTAACATTTAAATATACTGGGGGTTTTGTAAGGCAACTGTTTACTTTTTTAAGACAGGAAAAGAAACCTATAATGCAGCTCTGTGTTACTAGGAGTATGCAATTACTATGTAGATTCATTAAAATGATAGGGTGGCAGTGGTAACACTTAGGAAGATGTGCCTGTAGTTATAGTCACTTAATAGTTAGTGCGATGTTCCTTCCTGAGTTTTAAAAGGGCATAGTCCTAGAAAACCATCTACTTCTCATCATAGACATCTCATTTACCATGAGAATTGACACTGTTTTCCCGAAGGAGAGAAGTCCTTCAGATGATGAATCCTCTCGAGAAGTTCAGACAGATTTTCAGAGCAGGGAAGCTCCATACCTGTCCATGTGAACAAATGCATGCATTAATCTTCTGATCTGCTTGAAAGCTAGATGGCAACTCAAAAATGCATTTTCAAGTCTACCAAAAGAAATCTTGACAGTTGTTTTTTTCAGTAGGTCCTGGGCCTGGTAGGTTAATCTGCACTGTATCTAGTAGATCCCCTAATAATCAGTCAAGTCTGGCATATCCAAGTCCCAAGACTTGGATTTCTTATCCTTATTAGAAATAGGAATGAAATCAGTTTGTAAACCTGTATCCCTCACCACTTCTGAACAAAGCCCTAGACTACACCTCCAGATCGGACAGGAGGATCACTGATGGTCTCTGGCCACAAGGTGTGCAAAGGGCCTGGGCTTGGACTGTTTATGCCTGTTCAGAATTCCCTAAGGTGGAAAAATTGAAGCTGGCGCAACATTTGCAAAGCTTCTCCAGAGCCCTATAAGCTCCTGCAGTGCTCCAGGGCCAATGTGTGGCCCACAGCCATTGCAGTAGAGATAGGGACTAAGTTATCAGCTCCTGAATGTTAACCCTATATTGCCAGGGGGGAACCTGGCCGGTAAGTTTTAGCATAATGTAGCAAAATGGGCATTTGGATATCTGCGTATCACTTCCTCCTCCTTCAGAGCATCTTGGGGTTTTTAAAACTCTGTGGGTGTCATGGGAGTGATTTAGAGCAGCCTGGAGTGGTGCGCAAGACATGGGACTTGTAGATCTTGGAGGAGACCCCAGCAAAGAAGGACTGAGAGGAAATCTGGGGCAGTGCAAGGCTAGTTGTGAGTCAGTTTGGAAGGCAGGCTTTGTTGGTGGCAGGGCTCTTTGAGACGAGATGGTTCCAGCTTGCTAGTGGGCTGGCAGGAGCAGGATGCTTCCCTGATGGTTTAGTGCCTCACAGCCTTAGGTGCAAGAGCTACGGAGGTGTAGTTTAATAGCTCTCTTTAGTATGTTGCCATGCAAGTGTCGTCACGCCTGCTGCTAAAACTACTTCCTCCAGTAAATTATTGCTGCTGGGCAATGAGGTATCTGCATGTGGAAAGTGCAAACACTCGAGCTCTGCTCCAAGTCCTGTCTTGTCACGCCAGACTCTTCCTGGTCTCTCAGTCCGGTGGTGGTGTTTGGTCCCAGCAGTTGTCCCTGCTTCTGGAGCTGAACAAGTTTTAGCTAGAGCTCAGACTATGCAGTGGAATGAAGTGCAGCTCCCACCTGACTTGCATGGTGTTTCTGTGTGGGCACCTTGTTGAGGGGATGAAGGAGAGAGGCGCATAGCGGGGCTGGTGTGTTCCTGAGCCATGTTTCAGTGCTGAAATGTGGCCTGGTGTGCAGCTGCCAGGTTTCCTAATCTGTCTGTGGCTGCTAAGTGCCCTGTGTCTCAGCTCCCAACATTTTCTTTATGTGGACTGGAGGATTTACAACTCTCTGCCAAATCTGACATAATTGTGTGTGGCAACTGCAGAAGAGATTGCCAGGTTTAGGACTAAGGCAAAGTTTCTTGTCTTTGTCACTTCCTGAGGAAACTTTGACAGCTCTTCAGAGAGACTAGTGGCTTGCTAACTACCATCTGAAGTGACCTCCATTACTCCTTTCCTTTTGCTTTTGTTTGTTACATTTTTGTGTTGTGACTGTTCATCATGGGACCAAAGGAGTTAGGTTGGAAGAGGCTCATAGGTCACCCCTTGTCCCTAAAGCCCCTTTCATAGCTTTCCTAACAAATATTTGACTCCTCTGTCCTTAAAAACTCATGATCTGCTCCCCAGGGTTACGTCCCAGGGCTTAACTGCTCTTACTGTAGAAAGTTTTTCCCAAACATAGTGTTTTACATCTTCCTTGCCTGAGACTTCATTCCTTCACCCTTCTGTTTGTGTTTCCATTTTCTTGCTCATAAGAAGTCACTTGCTGGCATGCATTCTGCTAGCGTGAAAATACTGTCTCAAGCTGGTAAGCATACATTTGTAAAAGGAGAGACATATTTCCTCTGTGGAGGAGAAGGAAGTTTTCTCTGGAGTTTCTCTGCAACTGAATCCCATTTGCTAGGTGTGGAGAACAGTTTATTGCCTTTGAGGATGTCGTGTACCTCGGTGTGCAGCGTCTGCATGTGCAGGCTGTGGAATTGAGCTCCAAATTGTTTGATATTCAAAGTAATTGGGAACGTGATAATAGTTTTGTTATGGAGAAGATCTCTGGTTTTCTTATCTTCATGTCATGGTAATGTAAAACTCTGGATTCTGCTGGATGGAGAACAAATTCCTGTAGCAGAGCATATGCATGCATGAGACCTTTCAGTGCAAAGCTTAAGTACCCACTCTTCTTCTCTAAGTAGCTACTCTACTGAACATGTATGACTGGGAATCTTTTAGTTTATGTTGGTGTCTGTGAAAGACATAAATTATATTTTTCTTTTGACTCTAAAATATTTGTCATTATTAATGCTTTTAAGGCGTAAATGTCCCAACACAGATAGGAGCACTGCTGTTAAAAATGAAACTGCACCCCTGGATGGGTTGTACCAGTTAAGGACCTTTCTTCCCACTAGGTATGTGCAGGGTGACCTTCATGTTAAGATGAGAATCCTACTGAAGACAGTAACAGTACACAGTGCAGAAGCCACATGTGCATCAACAGCTGCAGTGCTGTAGCCTAAAACAGAACAAGAGGGACCAAAGTAGAGTGGATGACAAAGGTGATCATGGAAAGAAGAAAATTGTACTGATGAAGTGAATGTATATAATCTAAAATTTTGTCCAGAAAATGTCAATTTGAGAGGAGAACAGACTGACAAGTATTTCCCCCCTTGCGTTAATGGTTCATCATCATCTACTCATTCAGTTGTATTTTATTATGTAAACAGGTAGCTCTATCATGAGAGAAATTTTTGAATCATGGCTGTCTGTCTTGTGGAGTCACTGGTTTGAAGTGTCCATCACTGGAGCCTTTCTATTAAAGGTGCCCTCATCTGGTTCTCTTTCCTAGCCACTTATGTTTATGCATTGTAGTGAAATACCAAATCCCAGGTAAAACTGAACAATGATTTTAAGTTCATGGGGAACTGAAAGATGGAGAGACACGCAGCTGGCTGCATAATCACCATTTTCTTGGTGATTTCTTGGTTTTCTTGGTATTCTTCCCTGGTGAAGAATAGTCTGAAATTTCCACTTAATATGTGCTCATAATTCTTCCATATTTCTTTGCCCTGCTTTGCCAGTCTAAAGAACCGTGTACCATAATACTGAAGTAGACTTGGA